AGTAAGAGTCCAAAGAAAGGTGATCCCACAGAATGTAGAAATTATAGAACAATATCATTAATATCACATGCAAGTAAGAGCTTACTGAAGATAATTCAGAAACGTTTGCAGCAGTATATTGACAGAGAACTTCCAGAGGTTCAAGCCGGATTCAGAAGAGGACGTGGAACAAGGGATATCATAGCAGTTGTCAGATGGATCTTGGCTCAAGGCAGGGAATACCAGAAAGATGTTTACTTGTGTTTTATTGACTATGCAAAGGCATTTGATTGTGTGGATCATGACAAATAATGGACAACACTGAGAAGAATGGGAATCCCCGAGCACTTGATTGTACTCATGAGGAATCTGTACCTTGACCAGGAGGCTGTCATTCGAACAGAACAAGGGGACACTACATGGTTTAAAATCAAGAAGGGAGTGCGTCACGGTTGTATTCTGTCTCCACACTTATTCAATATATATGCTGAGCAAATAATCTGAGAAGCTGGACTATATGAAGAAAAACGTGGTATCAGGATTGGAGGAAGAATCATTAACAACCTGAGATACGCAGACGATACAACTTTGCTTGCTGAAAGTGAGGATGACTTAAGGCACCTACTGATGAATGTTGAAGAATACAGTCTGCAGTATGGATTACATCTCAACATAAAGAAAGCAAAAATCCTCACAACTGGACCAATGAGCAGCATCACAATAAATGGAGAGAAGATTGAGGTTGTCAAGGAATTCACGTTGCTTGGTTCTACAATCGATGCCAACGGAAGCGGCAGTCAGGACATTAGACGATGTGTAGCACTGGGAAAGTCAACTGCGAAGGAACTGTTTCAAGTGCTGAGGAGCAAGGATATCTCATTGAGGACTAAGGTGCGCCTGACACAAGCCAGGATATTTCCAATCGCCTGGTATGCATGTGAGAGCTGGACAATGAATAAGGAAGACCGAAGAAGAGTTGATGCTTTTGAGTTGTGGTGCTGGCGGAGAATGCTGAAAGTACCATGGACTGCTAAAAGAACTAACAGATCTGTCCTGGAGGAAGTGCAGCCAGAATGCTCCTTGGAAGCAAGAATGGCCAGACTTTGTCTCACCTATTTTCGTCATGTTGTCAGAAGGGACCATTCCCTGGAGAAGGATGTCATGCTTGGTAGGGTGGAGGGTCGACGAAAGAGGGGGAGGCCTTCAACGAGATGGATTGATACAGTGGCTGCGATGATGGGATCAAGTATAGCAGGGATTGTGGGGCTGGCGCAGGATCGGGCAGTGTTTCGTTCTGCTGTGCATGGGGTCGCTATGAGTCGGAAATGACTCGATGGCACTTAACAACAACAACAGTAAGAGTCAACAAAAAGGAGAAGAGAGTCAAATAAACAATAAGCTACAGAAGTTAATTTTAACATCAGAAATAAATATTATAATATTATAATCAACTTATGCCAACAGATTTGAAAACCTAGATGAAATGATAACTTTATAAAAATATAAATAACCAATATTGATACAAAAAATAATAGAACATAAACATTAAGGAAATTAATCAGTGGTCAGAAATTTACTCATAAAAAAGCTCTAAGCCAAGATGGATTACAGGCTTGTCTTACCAAAACTTTACCAGCGAAGAGAAAAAAAGAGAGAAACCTCAACTTCTTCTCTGAGGCTAGTATAACCTTAATACCAAAACTCAACACAGAGAAAAGAAAATCCAAGCCCAATCTCACTTATGAATATAGATGTAAAATTCCTAAATAAAATAATCACAACCCAAATTCCATGTATTCAAGAACAAAACAAAACCATAATCTAGCTGGCTTTATCCCAAGAAAGTAAGGATATTAGAAAATATTAATATTATTCACCACATTAGCAGGTTAAAGGGTGGGGAAAATACTTCAATAAATACTGAATAACATTTGTTAAACTTCAGTATCCACTTACAAGAAAAACTTAGCAAACTAGGAATAGAAGACAATTTTGTTAGCCTTATGACATCATTAACAGCATAAATATTTTCTTTAATGCTACAGACAAAATAAGGATATTCACTACTATTGTTTATATTCAAAATTGTACTGAGAGATTAAGCAGTATAATAAACCAAGAAAAAAATTGTAAGAGATATAAAGATTAAACATGAAAACATTTGTTATTACCTGTTTCCTTCTCTAGTGCTGCTATAACAGAAATACCACAAGTGGATGGCTTTGACAAACAGGAATTTATTCTTTTACAGTTTAGGAGGCTAAAAGTCCAAATTTGGAGTGCTGGCTCCAGGGGCTGGGTGAAGGCCCCTCAGCCTTGGGCTTCAGCTCTGCAGTTCCAGGTCTACAGGAGCTAGACCCATGCAGCCACTGGGTGCTGAGGCTGACAAACTTAAGGTTGGCAGGTAAAATGGCATAATCCCAAGATCATCAGGCAAATGGCAGGCCACTGGTTCAAGTTCAGGAACTGGAGATGAAGACTGAGCCAGATGCAGGATCCAAATGTGCCAAAACACTAGAGACATTTCCCAAAGCTTCTCCATATAGACTGGAAGCAGTCTATACCCTGAAAGTAACTCCCCTTCAACGACTAAGCTGCCCATGGCAGATTCCACCATGGAGATGAAATGTCAACATGGGGCATAACTACATCCAGCCAAGTTGGCACACAACCTTAACTCCCACATTACCCAGCCATATGATTCTGTACACAGAAAATCCAAAAAACTACAAATATTATAAGAGTACCAGACTGTGGGATACAAGATCAATAAACATAAATCAGTTTCATTCCTATGTTACAGTAACAGGTAAGTATTCCAAAAACCTAAACTAATTGCCTCCAAGTAGATTCAGACTCATAGCAACCCTATAGAAGAGGAGAACTGCTCCACAAGGTTTCCAAGGCTGTACTCTTTACGGAAGCAGACTGCCTTGTCTTTCTGCCAGAGCAGCTGGTGGATTTGAGAGGTAAGTATAACTACTATTTACTGACCTTTCGGCATGCTATACTTATTTAATCATAAAATGAGCTCAGTTGGTATCTTTATCTTCATTTTAACAGATTTTTAACCTTTGCTTTGGAGGGTTAATTTACCAAAGGTTACACAGCTAGTAAATTAGGAGAGGGTGGACTACAACCCAAATATGTGTGACCACCAAAGTCCACCATGTTTTTAACCACTAGATACTCTCACTTCCAGTAATTTTAGGAATTGTCCTTGCTTCTGACTTCAGTGGTTTCTTTTTGATGTTTTAAGCAGTTTGTTATCGGGGAAAAAAAAATCGTTTCACACTCTCAAGTTTTACTGACAAAATGTATGTATAAATAAATGGTCCCAAGAGAGTCAAAATATTCTGTAATAAACCTAGATGGTGATGGGCCCAAAAAGTTGATGGCTGAAGCGCCAACTGAGAGAGATGGTAGAAGTCATGGGCCACCCGGCAGGACTGAAGCTGAGCTGGGGCCCAGGGTTCTGATGGGGCCCACAGAACCTAATCCAGCTCTCCTCACGCACGGCCTGCTGGGAGGCTGAGAAGCCTGAGCCAGCCATCGCTGACCTGCAGAGACTGTGTCTCTTGTGCGCTGGTGAAATGGAGGCACAGTCGAGGAGAGGTGGAGAGACCAAATGGATACAATACTGTACATTCCACTTTCCTCAGTACTGCCCATGAAAATGGATTTCATGTTCTTCGTAGTGACAGCAGCAGGAGCTATAGCCGCATTTGCTGTTGCTGTTTTTGCAGCATTTGTAGTATTAAAAACTCTAAGTTCTTTTAAGGAAGGGACATCTGGGAACAATGAGGGTACTAAAGAATCTCGTACAAATCCCGTGTCTGTTTTCAAGACAGCAACAAATATGGAACAAGAAACGCAAGAGGAAGCACACGAAGAACTGGGCAAGAAGGAACGAGACACTCAAACTTCGTAAGTGTAAAATATAACTTGGTTAAATTGCAGACGGACAAGCAACACTGTGCTGGTCAAATGAAGAGCAAAGACAAGCTGAATCACACCAGGCTCCTTTTCTGCGGGCCAAAGGGCAAGGGTTGCAACCAAAGCATAGGCTTGTCTGGTGTCATCATGACACACAAACTTAAGGTCACTTTCCTGTAAAATGTTTTCAAAGGTAAGGGTCAGTGTAGATTGCATCTTTTAGAACGATGTAAAAGGAAGATACATGAGGGGAAAGTCAGTGTGTTCTTGTTTTTTGACAGAAGTTTCCCTTTTGATGTTTCAAGGTATGGAAGGGAAAAAAAAAAAACTAAAATCAGCTTTCACACAAGAGACTGACTGTGGCTTGTGAAGAGAAAAGAACTTCTTTCCTAGATGATTCGCAACGCCTCTTGAGGGCGGCCGCGCGCACAAAGGCCACTACCTCACAGAGCCGGGTGCGGCGGGTGGCGAGGCGCTGGTGCTGCGCGCCCAGACTGCAGAAGGGGATAGCTGTCTGCACATGGGCCCCTCGGGGCAGCGAGGCTAGCGGGTGGGTGCGCGGGTGGTACGAGGGTGGTGGGTAGGCTCCTCCGAGGGGATGAAGGGAGGCGGCGGCACCAGGTCAGGCTTGCCATACCGTGAGCCCGACTTCGGGCAAGCCTCTGCAGTGCCCTGCGGCTGTAATAGTCACGCACCTAGTTGCCAAATAAGGGTGCTTCAAAACACGTTTGCAAACCCGCCTGGCCCGGTAGCCGCCTCTCGCCTAGCCCAGCCGCAGTGCTCCCTACTGCCGCGCGATGGCGAGCGAGCCAACTCCGCTTCGTCCGTCTCTCCTCTGCTCCTCCCATGTTCCGCCTTCCCCTCCCTCCCACTCCTTGAGCAGCCCAGCTACCTCCATTTTCCAGATCTTTCTCGAACCCGCAACTCTTGGGCAGCCGTTGCCCGAGTGCTGACGGAAGCGGCCGAAATCGAGGCCGGGTGCAGCTTCGAGCCCGGAGTGACTGCTCGCGCACCTCCCCAGAGGCCGAGCGCGCAGGCGCATATCCCAGTAACTGCCGGTTAGAGGCCGCCGAACCGCAGTGAGAAAGATACCAAGGTGGCGGGCCTCGTTGGAGGCTGCGGCGCGGGCTGACTTTTCCCCCTCCCCGGTTCCCCGACGCCCTGCCCTAGATTTTCAGCGTAAAGACTTCGAGTCCTCCCTCCTTTGCTTCTCGTAGGAGTCGCAATCTCAGCGGCAACAACCCAGAGGAGGCGGCGGTTCCCACACCGGTATCTTCAGCACCAGTACCCGGTTCACCAGGCGCGGGGATGTCTGTGGTTGGCATTGACCTCGGCTTTCTCAATTGCTACATCGCCGTAGCAAGGAGTGGCGGAATCGAGACTATCGCCAATGAGTACAGCGACAGATGTACACCGTAAGTGCCTGTTCTAGTCATAACCTCATCCCTAAGAAACATTTTCTTGCGACCCTTCCGTCTGTCCCGCCGGATGGTTTCCTCTGATGTCCATTTCTGATGCTCGCCGAGCCCTGAGATGACAGGTGCAGCCCATCAGCTGCTATTTCTGGAGACCGCAGGTTGGCAGGCCTGGTTGGGAATCTCACCGCAAAGCTGCTTTTTCTTCAAGGGCAAGGGACTTAACTCTGATAGTTTGCGCATCTCTCCTTTCGTACCCACACCACCTCCGACGCCGCTGTCCCCAGCTTTAGGTTGCGAGAGGGGTTGGTGAGGGACAGCGTCGGCGTCCCGACCATTGGAGAAAGATCGGCGGTAGCGGCTAGTGGGATCTTGCGTCGGATCGTGTGCTGCTTGCCGGCATCCTACTTTGGCCGAGTAGAGAGTTCTTCATCCATTCTGCCCTTCCCCTTTCTCCATCCCTCTGGGTCACAGTTTTCTCTCAGAAAAATGAGAAGGGAAAACTTAGACTTACGTCAGAGGAGTTGCAGATTCATCTGGCCTGGAAAGCCATTTGAGGGGACGAGAAGGTGGAGGGGGTTTTACCCCAGTGTCCTTGAGAGCTGGAGGTAATCAGACTGATTTCCAGGGACATACGCTAATGCTGCTTTTTCACAATGGGAAGAGAAAGAGGAATGGGGGAGACTTTGGTTTTATGTATTGGTAATGTTCATAAATTAAAGGAAAGCCATGTGTTTTTGTTTGTTTGTTTGTATTAAAAAAAGCATATTTCCTGTGAATTGTTAGTTGAGGCAACTGCGTTGTATTAACATGACTGTGGAGCGGGTCTGTTATGAACACTTGATGATAGACTTGGAAGAGGTGGCATTTGGTCATGGAAACATGTTCCCACATGTTCCATTGTTTTCTGGTGTGGGAAGTTTGTTGGCAAGGAATATAGTTAAGTAAGACTGGCATATGAAAAACTAGCATCTTATTGTAGGTTCTTGTTGACAATAATTTTATGAGAAAGTAACTGTTTGATGTATTATTTTCTATGGAAAGGTATTAAACATAATTTGACTTTTCAGATTGGTCCAAAATATAATGCTTATGTTTAAATGAGAGTAATCCTAACCAAAATTATTATTAAGCTAAGGCTTTAAAAAGTCCAAATTACTGCAGTTTTATAGATCGTTTAAATTCTGGATTGGGACGCAGTTTTTAAATGGCAAGGGAGTGTTGAAGAGTAGATGAAACAATATGGGTTTTGGTTTTCAAATAATGTTCCAGAAGGTTTTGTACTGCCTTTTCTAGATGCATACATTATATTTCTTGTTGAAATTTTTGTTTATATCCTCAAGTGTTGGCATAGATCAGGTACTCCTCACGGTACTATTAGAACTCTTGCCTTTCTCTTTTGCGTTCTTTACTAGCTTTTATGCAATGAGAGGTGGAAGCTGTACTTGCAAACTATTTATGAATTAATCTCTGTCAGATTAAGAGCACATCTAAGCTGTAACAAATACAAGTTTCTGCCAGAGAAGGACCAGAAAATTCATTCTCTTTCAGCAGAGTAGAGGTTAATGGAAGTAGTCTTTGGCTTCAAGAACTCACTAACCTATGGAAACAAGTGACCAGTGAGGTGGACATTCCCCTAGTCCTTTAAAGCCAAAATAAGAAACCAGAACTATAAAAAAATATTCTGCATTTCTAGGCTCAGAAATTTCTTTATTAGAGGGACTAGGACTCTATAAAGAGCCTAGCCAGACTTTCAGTTTCTTGAAAAGTAGGCAGTTTATTTGAGTTTTCTAGAAGTCTCTTTGTTACTATTCTTAGGCATATAAGCCAATTTTGTGTGGCTGAAATTTGATATATTTCTAATTTGTGTGTAAGAAAGCCAATATTAATTTTTAGATTTAATGAGCCTAATGCAATCTAGAAAATTGCCAAGGTGAAAGGATCGTATTATCACTTTATTCTATCAGCAACTCTACCTTTCTATTGATTTTGTAGTACATAGAGTTGTGTGATGTCATTTATCTAAGAAATACATCTTTTTGTATTAATTAATACTTTACAGTAGTCCAGTGTTTTTAAATTGTGTATGTACTTTGTGGGGCTCAAATTATTGTGAGAAAACAGCCCTTTCTGATCGATCACCAGGAGATTTATTCATTGACATTTATTGAAAATAAGGAAGACTGAAGAAGAGTTGATGCCTTTGAATTGTGGTGTTGGCAAAGAATACTGAAAATACCATGGACTGCCAGAACGAACAAATCTGTCCTGGAAGAAGTGCAGCCAGAGTGCTCCTTAGAAACAAGACTGGCTAGAATTTGTCTCATCTGCTTTAGTCATGTTGTCAAAAGGGACCAGTCCCTAGAGAGGATATCATGCTTGGTAAAGTAGAGGAGGGTCAGCAAAAAAAGGGAAGCCCCTCAACGAAATGGGTTGAAATAGTGACAACAACGACGGGCTCAAGCATAGCAGGGATTGCAAGGATAGCACAGGACCGGGCAGTGTTTCCTTCTGTTGTTCCTAGGGTCACTATGAGTCAGAGCTGACAAGACACCTAATGGCAACAACATCATGCAAAAGGCATTATAACTATTAAGTGATGTAGCGTAGTGTCTAAGGCACTTGACTGCTAACCAGAAGGCTGGCGGTTCAAACCCATCAGCCACTCCTTGGAAGGAAGATGGGGCAGTCTACTTCTGTAATGATACTGCCTCGGAACCCAAGGAGGGGTCACTATGAGTCAAGACCGACTCAACGGCACATAACAACAACAACAACAACAGTATTTAATAGCACATGATATAAACCAGCTTTTCAATTTTTCCTCCATATTCCAGTTGTTGACATCAACATCATAATACATTTCTTACATGCAAATACATACATCATAGAGTCTAGGGAAAAAAAGGAAGTGTTCTATTTAGTTGATTCTAGCACTCATACTTTCTCATATTTCTTCATCTGTAAATATTTTATTTTATACACATAGGAGGGTCCCATACACCAAGAAAAAGTTTAATGGAAAAGAGAATTTACTTAAGTCTGTCCTACAATCAAGAGCAAATAATTAAACCTATTCAAATTCACCACTTGTGAAATTGGAGTTTTTTTGTTTTTTTAATTTTTATTGTGATTTGGGTGAAAATTTACAGAGCAAATTCATTTTCCATACAGCAGCTCACATATACTTTGTCTCATGACATTGACTGCAATTTCCCACAATGCAGTAGCTCCCCTCCCAGTTCCTCCCCATAGTTACCTCTTCCCTGTGTTCTTCCCTCCCCTGCACTTCAACCCCTCCCCCCAGCTGTCTCCCTGTGCATATACAGCCCTTCTATTCTCCCATAATTGATCTCTCCAAGGAGTGTATCTATCTAATGTAAATGTCTAACTCATATGCCTGTCTTTTATTTGGCTGTAAGCCACAGGAGTGGGTTCTTTTCCAGACCTGAAGAGCAGCTAGGGGTTCCATCAGGCTCTATCAGACCAGCAAACCTAGTCCCTTTTTTTTTTTTTTTATGATTTTGAGTTTTGTTCCCCATTGTTCTCCTACTCTATCCAGGATCTCCTACAGAGATCTCCCTCTGAGTGGTTGACAGTGGTAGCCAGGCACTATCTAGTTCTTTTGGTCTCATAGTCATATTGGCTGAGGATTGCATGGTGTACCAGTCCCTTGGACTAATTTTTTCCATGTGTCTTTGGTTTTCTTCATTCTTCTTTGCTTTGGACAAGGAGAACCCATCATTGCATCTAGATAGCCGCTTGCAAGCTTTTAAGATCCCAGTCACTACTCACCAAAGTAGGATGTGGAACAATGTTTTTTTGTAGTATGTTATGCCAACTGAACTTGATGTTCCCTGTGACCATGGTCCCGAGTCCACAGGTCCAACTACTTCTTCCTCTGAGTAGCTGGCTGTGGCCAAGAAGTCACTACAACTTTGTTGCTTGTCAGCTTTACAATATATATGGAAATTTTTACAGAACATAAAAATACACTTGTAGAAACATTGTCTGCCAACCCTGTACATGGTCATGGGCACACTGAAATTGGAGTTTTTATACTAGCCTCAGCTCATGCATAAGTTGAAGATGAGGAAATAAACATCATGCATAAATTGAAGAGGAAAAAATTTAAGTTTTTTTAGCATTTTCTTTTTTTAAAAAAATTACACAAATAATACATGTTCATTGTAGAAAATACAAAAACATTAAAAGATGAGAATTAAAATCATAATTCCTACATCCTGAAATGAAACTTCCAGATGGTTTCTGTGTATGAGTTTTCAAGAGGGAAAGAGTAGGTTATATTGTTTGGTAACCTCTTTATATGTAACACGTTTCTATTAGTTTTTGGTGTTTATATAATGATCAGTTTAGGAGCTCTGATAGCAAAGTGCCTAAGCCACTTGACTGCTAACCAGAAGGCTGGCAGTTCAAACCCACCAGCCACTTCTCGGAAGGAAGATGGGGCAATCTACTTCCGTAGTGATAACTGCCTCGGAAACCCAAGGAGGGGTCGCTATGAGTCAGGTCCGACTCAAGGGCACGTAACAGCATCAACAACAACATAATGATCAATGTAGTCTATCCGTACTGGACATTCAGGTTGCTTTTGTTATTTTGTTGTTGTAAACGGTGCTACATTAACAATCTTGTAACTTTTTGTACATTTTTGATCCTTAATTCCTTCAAATAAATTCCTAGAAGTAGAAAAATTGAGTGTGTACATTTTTCAGGCCTTAGACATGTTTGTGTTGTTGAATTAAGTATAGATGTGGGGACTGAAATTTCCATTCCAGTTTTAATTATATCAAGGTGATTAGTTTCAGACATGGAAAAAGAAAACTGCAGCAAAGACTCTTAATTCAATATCGAATTAAAAGTTTGTGGTCAACTATCACATATTGCCTGTGTTGATAATAGTGATTGTTATGTGCTGAGCTGTGTGCACTTACCACAACTGTTCTGTGAGTTAGGTAATACTATCTTTTATCCATAAG